AGAAATAATCGAGATGAAACAATTCAAGAAACAAAGGAAATGAACTAAGGCACAAATATATTTAAAGCATAACAGAAAAACCTTTTTGAAGTTTTAAAGGATTAAAATCAAAACATTCTGTTTTTTAATTCATCATAAACCAGATTAATTGATGCATCCTCTGGAGTTTATTTCTCTTCATGCTTATTTCTTTTGGAGGTACAACGCTTCACTTCCTCTCTGCCTCTCACAGCTAACTGAGCGGGTGAACGTGCTGCCAGCGAGCGTCTCCACTCCTCGCCGTTTAACCGTGCGCTTCATGTAAAGTGGCACCTGGCTCGTTTCAAAAAGGACAGCAGAGGATTCTTTGACAGATCTCAGATTCACCTAAATCAGCAGCGTTACCTCCGACTGAAGCCTCGATGGAGAACACCTGCTCAGATTTTTACTGTCAAATGTCCATTTTATTGAGACACAAGCAGAGCGCGCCAGGAGCCACGGCGATGCATCAATGTGCTGCTGAGGATAGGAAAGCTTTAAATCACTACTGACGGTAATCATGTTTTCAGGTTCCACTGCAGCTACACCTGTCACCTGCACCTCTGCAACACGGTCAATACATCCACCTTAAGATGGAGACGTTAGAATAAACAGCTCAGTCACATGGCTTGGATTCAGCGAGACCTGAAATCAGCCTGATAACACTCAGTGAACGAGTAAAACATGCATGTGTTACTTTCCTCACTGACTAAATGTTTGCCTTAAAGTTTCAAATAATGAAAGATTCTTCTCCTCTCAAGACCCCAACATAACAAAGCAACACTCGGCACTGATTGGACACACTTAACAATTTTGTGTCCTGATTCTTCTGCACACAGTCACACTCACACTCTGAGGGAAACAGACGAGCAAAGAGAAAGGAAGGAGGTCGTGTTTAGCTTCTTACTAAATGTTTGCCCTTAAAGTTTCAAATAATGAAAGATTCTTCTCCTCTCAAGACCCCAACATAAACAAAGCAACACTCGGCACTGATTGGACGATGCACTTAACAATCAATTTGTGTCCTGATTCTTCTGCACACAGTCACACTCACACTCTGAGGGAAACAGACGAGCAAAGAGAAAGGAAGGAGGGTCGTGTTTAGCTTCTTAATAAAACATTTATAACACATTGCCTCCTGTCTCTTTGAAACTTCATGTTCTTTACTCCTGTCTGCGTCTGATTCAGGTCAAAGATCAGAAAGACAAATGAAGAAAAATACGACTAAATAAAAAACTTTTCCTTCAAGAGCTTGTTAACATTTGTATTTGTTAAATGTGGCACTGACCTCCAAACTGAGCAAAAAAGCACCTCTATAAGATTTCTATAAAGTGAAAAAAGAGCCGGTCAATACCGATGAACCTCAGGTGAACACTTCACATGGTTAACATTATTCTGCTGCGTTTGAATCGTCCTTGAAATCTTTACACATTTGAGGAAAAAAATAAAGTCAGAACATTTTTTTGAAAGGAGAAGCAACCTTGAAAAGAAGTTGATTTCTTTTTCGACAAACATATAGATTCAAAGTCGTGAAAAAAGTTTGTGAACTTTCAAAACCACTTCAAAATTGGGTATCAGGACTATCAGGAAAACAAAGTTCCTTTCCCTTTGCACTTTGAACATCTCGTTGCTCCGGCTATTTATCAAGCATGAAACATAAGAGTGAGGACTGTTTCTTAGCGAGGAAGTGCTCGTCAGAAAAACACTCTGAACCTCTACGATTGATTGTTTTCAAATACTACAGCCCTGCTCTGTACTGTACCATATCCAGCTTTAGACACACACACACACACACACACACACACACACACACACACACACACACACACTCTCCAGCTCCCACCTGGCGAGCTATTTACCTGCCGCTGGGATCGACTCCAACAAGTGTCAATCATCCGTAAAACAATCCCACAACCGATTGACGAGTCAGGAGAGACGCGGATCGAGTTCAGTCTCCTGGGGATCTGTGTGTGACTCTGTGTGTGTGTGTGTGTGTGTGTGTGTGTGTGTATGTTGTGACTAAATGTGTGTGTGTTTGTGTGTAATCTACCAGCTACACAGCTAAGCTCTGACTTCAAGCAGCTCAGGTTGACTCCAAGTCGATAGGCTGATAAAACCTGTGAGTGTGTGTGTGTGTGTGTGTGTGTGTGTGTGTGTGTGTGTGTGTGTGTGTGTGTGTGTGTGTGTGTGTGTGTGTGTGTGTGTAGGGCGTGGGGTTGTATTAATGTCCAGAGTTAAACGCTGTAATTATTGGCCTTCATTGTTCCCATACTACAGCCTGAGCCTATCAATCAAAACCTGTGTGAGTGTATGTGTGTGTGCGTGCGTGTGTGTGTGTGCGTGTGCGTGTGTGTGTGTGTGTGTAGCTTTGACAGTGGAAGAGGCTTACATAAAGACTCTGAGGTTTCCATTGTTTCACTACAGAGAATGTTTTCTTCATTAGATGGACACAAGTCATAAAACATGTTTTGAGGAGTTTATTTGATGTAATTTAGGATCTTAGATAACTTAGTTGTCATTTAATCGTCGACCAGAAGCTGATCTGGTTTTTTAGAGGTTGACATATTTAACTGCTGTGGATGGAGAAGAAGCTCAGTGATAAAGACGAGGATGACAACAATCGGCTCCGAGTGATAGCCCGGCCTGTGTCGATACTGTATTCAACTCGACAATCCTTGAAAACTCCCCGAAGGTTAAAAAACTTCACCGAGCACTGCGGCTTCCCAGACTCGTCTTATTGTCGACGGCTCCACCTCGAGCACCGCGGCTCTCCGAGGCACCCAAGGTTGGAGAATAAAAAAATAGAGAAACAAAGCAGGAGAGGCAGAGAGCGAACCAACGCTAACAAAAAGAGAATACAGTTTCCCAAGGCTGCTCAGATTGGATCAATTCAGCGCTGAATGAGGGCTGTGAGGAGAGGTAAACATGTTGGGTGGTGTGTGTGTGTGTGTGTGGGGGAGTTTGAATGGAGTGAGTGAGCTCTTTGTCTTCAGTAAATGGAAGAACGAGGAGAAATATGAATCCTCGGTCTAAATCAATTGATTACGTACAAGGTTAGCGACTGTAACAGGAACATATTAACACCGGACCGACGGACACAAGCGATATGAAGACCCTCTTTTTCTCCCGCCCCTTGTCCTCGCTCCTGTCTCTTCTTCTGCAATGTTTGTTTGTATTTCTTAAACTTGGATATTGTGAATAAAGAACTCAAGAAATAACACAAGGATTCACATCTCCTGCAGCTTTGGAGGAGTCAAACCAAACAACTCTTTTAAAATCTATTTGGTCGAATGATGTGTTTTTCTAGCTCTTGATTTGTTAGTTTGAAGCTTCTTAAGAAAAGGAAGCTGCAGCCAAACAAAAGTCAACGGCTGACTGGCTGCAGTGCAGTTCATAAGCTCCGCCTCCTGATGTGAAACATGTCATATTATTTATCGTTCTGTCATGATTTAGCAACAAGCGGCTCTAAGTCATTTTTCTGAGTGGTTCAGCTTCAATTAGTTAGATATCAAAAGGCGCCGTGATTGACAGCTCTGTTGACCAATGGATTAATCGATTAATGTTAGCATATCGGCTAATTTAATCACAGATTTGCGCCGATGTTTGTAGATTTATTCACCCAATCAAATAGCATTTAAGTTAAGTATCGTTGTATTAAACGAGCAGTTCTCTGTCACCAGCAGAGGGCGCTGTATGGATTACATTGTGTTTGATAACTCCATTTGAGGGATCAACACAATACATGTTTATGCTCAAAGAGACATGAGAAAAGGTGTGTGTGTGTGTGTGTGTGTGTGTGTGTGTGTGTGTGTGTGTGTGTGTGTGTGTGTGTGTGTGTGTGTGTGTGTGTGTGTGTGTGTGTATAGAAAGCGTCTTCAAATCCTCTTTGATTCGTCAGAGGTCCTCTTGAATTCATTTCTATCGCCTTTTACCTTCTTCTTTCTCTGACTGACCCGCTCTAATTATCCATGTAATGATACAAACCCAGGGGGGAAAGGGGATCTCCCTCTGTCTACACACACACACACACACACACACACACACACACACACACACACACACAGGGCCTCCTCATTCCCACAGTAGAGCAGAGAGCCTCCTGCTGAAAGGAGCGACAGCAGGGCATGAATTTCAGCCGTTAATACGTTCGGACCGCGCCTTGTATTCACAGCATGAAAACGACCTGACCACATCAGGAGACAGAACGTTTGAGCTGCCCAAAAAGGGACTTCCTGTTTGCATAACCGTTTTCATATGAGCAGAAACGTGTGTGACAAAGTGCACAGGATATGGTAACTCATTCTGTTCTGTGATGGGCTGACACAGTGACTGCAGTAAAGATCTCTATTTGTTTCCTTTCACTTCCTCTCTTTTCCTACTGCACCTCCTTCAGTACACTTCCTGGTTTCTCACTCTCTCCTCTCTTGATTGGTTGTTGTTTGCACTCGGTCACTAATTAATTAGATTGAATTCACCTGCCTACTCCTTATTTAAGACTGCACTGCCTTACACTCATGTTTTCATCCTCACATGGGGCGGCAGTTCAGCAATGGTAAGGTGGTTTTTACTCCTGTTTTAGTTACTATCTAGTCCATTTTAATTTATCCTAAGTACTTTATTTATCTTTATTTCCTTCAGAAAGTAATTTGACTTGTTTACTGTGCTAATATTATTTAATTTGTCTTTCAGCGTGGATGTTCAATCCCATGTGTGTCTTCTCTTACCTTTATGATTTACCTAATTTGAAGAAATAAACTCAAGTCTTGTTGGATTCCTGCATCCTGACCCGATGCCCCCCCATGGTGATAGTACCTCAACTTTGAACCCTTCTTAACAGTGACCATAACAGACTAAAAGATTGTGGAGTCTGACTTCTACATAGTTGTGTGTATCCCCAGTTGTCCATAAAGGGTTGAAAAGTACAATAATGTTAAACATTCTTTGATAAAGTTGTAAGTGTAGTAAAGCAGTTTTCTGATTACCTTTGGAAAGTCTTGTTTGTTCGATCTGGACGGAGGCTTTTGTCTTCCAAACAGACGAACCCGGGGTCAAGTCTGACCCTTGGCTTTGCTCCCGCTTGTCACTTCACTCTCTCTCTTCATGCTCGATCCCCTGTCATTAAAATAAATACAGTCAAAAGAAGGCCGAAAACGAATTTAAAAAAAGGTTTAAGAAACACAAACGTTCCCTTCATCAGCTGATGTTGATTTCAAAGTGTTTTTTTTCCATGTTAAGATTACTTCAGGCTAAATGACTAAATAACCGTCAGGCTGCATGTGTATTTTAAATGGTTGTTTATGACTGCGCTATAAAGTGTCCAAATGCAAACAGACACTTAGATCACTGACAGAGGAATTAAAAATCATTAAAAAAAATACACACCACTGTCATATTTCATGTAGTTCAGAAACTGAAGTTCAGCTTCTCTTCCTGCAGAACACACACATCCATCAGCAGGCCGCTGACAGCTCAGACCTTTGAACAGAGAGGAGGGTCACAGCAATTATGTGAGATCGATAGCAGCCACACACACACACACACACACACACACACACAGAGGCTGAGACATCAGAGAGAGTGACAGAGCGCTCATGGATAGAGATAGTGTGTCTAACTCTTGTGTCTCCATCTTTTTATCCCCGGGTTTGTTTTACAGTCACTACTGCAGCTTCAGTTTGCAGATTAAAGGGTGTTTTCAGAACCTGGGATCTTTCTTTGGTAACATGTTTTAGGATCTAAAGGGTTAATGTGTGTGACTAAAATATTGTGTATAACTGGAGATGACTGTTTAAATGATCACAAAGTGTGTGTGGGTCCAGACAACAGGCCACATTTATTGACACGGCTGCTCCTCTCGATAAGAAGAGGCGTAAAATCAATCAACCTGATTGGTTGATGAGACGGAGGGAGGAGGAGGAGGTTTAGGACGAAGAGACTGCGGTCAAGCCAGCCGCCATTTGCAATATGATGTGCATCTATACAAGGATTTACGGTACGGGTGCTTCGAGCGCCCAAAAAGGAGGGATATTTCAAAAAATTGTAATTGAATGTAATGAAAATAAAATAAAAATGTAATCACAACAATTGTAATAGCCCTTTACATTTTAAGATTGTTTTACTGTTTAGTTTTTTGATAATTAAAAGGTAAAATCTGCTCAAATTGCTTAGAGACACGTTGATATTTTAGTCATATTCAATATTTTATTTTGAAAAATCTATGACAGGTGACAATAAACTTTCAATGGATTCTTGTTCCTCATGTCCCTGACTGATGCCATGAGAATTTCTAGCAGATTTTACAGAATAGTTTTTGAGAAAATTAAAGATAAATTATAAAATATTGAATAGGACCAAAATATCAAAGTTCTCATTTCACAGTTTCAGGAAAATTAAAGTTGAATTACCTCAAAAACTATTCAGTAAAACCATCTTAAACTGTAAAGGGCTCGTTGTTATTAAATTCTTATTTTATTTTCATTTCATAAACAATAACAAGTTTTTGAAATACACGGCCACATTCCCACTTTTTGAGCGCTCCAAGCACCTGTGGAGGAGGAGGAAGAGGAGGATGAGGAGGATGAAGAGGAGGAAGAGGAAGAGGAAGAAGAGGAGGAGGAAGAGGAAGAGGAGGAAGAGGAAGAAGAAGAGGAGGAAGAGGAGGATGAAGAGGAGGAGGAGGAGAGAGGAAGAGGAGGATGAAGAGGAGGAGGAGAGGAGGAGGTGGAGGAGAAGAGGAGGAAGAGGAGGAAGAGGAAGAGGAGGAGCTGAAGAGGAGTAAGAAGAGGAGGAGGAGGAAGAAGAGGAGGAGGAACAGGAGGAGGAGGAGGAAGAGGAAGAACAGGAGGAGGAGGAAGAAGAGGAGGAGGAAGAGGAGGAACAGGAGGAGGAGGAGGAAGAGGAAGAAGAGGAGGAGGAGGAGGAAGAAGAGGAGGGGAAGAGGAAGAAGAGGAGGAGGAGGAAGAAGAGGAGGAGGAGGATGAAGAGGAGGAGGAGGAAGAGGAGGAGGAGGAAGAGAGGAGGAAGAAGAAGAGGAGGAAGAGGAGGAAGAGGAGGAGGAGGAGAAGGAAGAAGAGGAGGAAGAAGAAGAGGAGGAGGAAGAAGAGAAGGAGAGGAGGAGGAGAAGGAAGAGGAGGATGAAGAAGAAGAGGATGAAGAGGAGGAGGAGGAAGAGGAGGATGAAGAAGAAGAGGATGAAGAAGAAGAGGGAAGAGGAGGAGGAGGAAGAGGAGGAGGAAGAGGAGATAGTTACAGATTTTAAAGAGGATGTCGTCACAGTTCAGTCTTGCTGCAGAGCTCTTTTTTATAAATCACAGCTGAACACAAACACAGGAAACAGCTGATGTAAACAACTAAACAATTCAGAACTGGAGAATCACTGAGAAACTCGGCGGCCTCGGCAAACAAACAAAAACAAACAAAGCATCATCTTAGCAAAAGAAAGTAAACAGCAAATGTGAAAATAAGCTAAGAAGCAACAAACAGGATAATACACAATACTTACAAACGGACAGATATTACGTCATCATGTAGTTTAAGACTCACATTTGTCCAGTTTTCCTTTAAGGAGCTGAAGAATCCCTCACTTTCCCTCTCCATGTTTTTCCACCATCTTGTCGTGTGAGCTCACGTGTGCTAACGAAGGACACCACCTGTCGGTCTCACCTGGCAGGTGTGCCGTCCGTCAGTATTGGGGGGGTGCAGTACTCTCCTTTCACCACAAGGTGTTTTTTTTTTCCTGTGAATTTAGATTTTGACAAAAATATGGGCATGAAAATAAAAACAAGTCCATGAATAATTATTATTTGAATGACAACAATAAATCCATTATTATTGTTTCTGTTTTTCCGTTTCCGCCACTTCCTGTCAGCGCCCGTGCTCTGCCTGTGGTCACTTCCTGTCAGCGCCCGTGCTCTGCCTGTGGTCACTTCCTGTCAGCGTCTGTGCCTGCCTGTGGTCACTTCCTGTCAGCACCTGTGCTCTGCCTGTGGTCACTTCCTGTCAGCACCTGTGCTCTGCAAACAAACAAAAAGGTTCCTTAAGAGATCTAGAATAAAACCATCAGCGTCTGGTCCACATTATTCCGTCTGCACAGACAGTAGAGTCTCTGCAGGCCCGCTGATCTGACAGTATGCAGACGATATGTTGACTTTCATGAACGTTATCTGAACATATTTCTTTGTTTTCGTACAAAGATGTGGCAACATTTTAGATTTTAATGTGCTCCACCTGCACCAAAACATTCACCCTGTCGTCTTACTGCAGGTGAAATACACCCGCTGCATTTCCTGATTGTGAATATGTACACGCTTTGAGGTGATCTGCAGCCTGAATGCGAAACAGCAGAATCCAGCGTTGGTCCTTGAGTGCTCTGAAAAAAACCTTGAGCTTACTGTATATTGTTCCTGTGTTCTCACGTCGACGCCCACAAGCTCTCAGCTAACCGCACGTCTTCACGGCTCACATCGTCTGCTTTGTGTCTGATTCCATTGTGTGTCAGGCTGTTGACGAGGATGACAAAGACGCAACGAGGACCGAACCGGGGGACAGATGGAATAAAGTTTCTGCACAATTTCCCGTCGTTTAGAGGAGGAGATGATGAGAGTATAACGGAGGAGATGGAGGATGAAAGTTTAATTGTTCCACAGAAAATATGTTTAAAGTGATGAAATAAAGCTGGGGATCTTTACGTGTTCATGTTGATTCTCCCTTAATACTGTTACAATTTTAATTTATGCATCCATCTTAACGAGAAAGAAAAAGGACAACACAAGCCCCGCCCCCAATCGATGACAACACAGTTTGATGAGTCCACAAACACTTTGTGGAAAATAGCAGCAATTTCACAGCTAATTCATAGATTTCACGTGTGGACGCCTCCATCACCTCCCTCCCTTAAATGACTGACATTATAAGTGTGTGTGTGTGTGTGTGTGTGTGTGTGTGTGTGTGGAGGGCAGAGATCCTGTATCAACACTTTATAGGTGAAAGATGATTGTTTATTAGTAGTCATAAATAAATCTGATTGGTTCTCTTTAATTATTCAAAAAGTCAAAGATGATGAAAGATTTAAAAACATCCTCTTTCAAAATAAAGGCGGCTGAGGAGGCTTTTGACCCCGACAAGAACTTGTTCATAAACCCCCCCAAAAGATCAGTACGAAGGAGTATAAAGGCCACAACCAGGCGGGGGAAAAAATCAAGAGAAGTTGTAAATTTACGAGAATAAAGTTGTTAATTTAGTTTCTAGTTTAATCTGAAGAGCAGCCGTCTGTATGAAAATGAGGGACGTGGGGCGTCTTGTGAGGTTAAACTTTATATAATGAAAACTTTGAGATTTTGACGAGAAAATATCACAAACCACAAACACATCCTAGGGGTCAAGTTTAGTGACTGCATGAGCTGAGGCCACGCCCCCTAATTATGTTTAACTTTATGCCTTAATTAACCTAAAACGGTCGAGTTGTGTACAAAAAATGTCTTTAAAATTCTAATAAAGTGTATAAAACAAAATGATTATTTCTGCTGTGAAGTTTATTATAGGGCTTCATGGGATGAACTCACTTTTGGAGCCGGCCTCTAGTGGACACTTGAGGAACTGCAGTGTTGGCACTTTGTTGACATGCCAGTCTTTTCATGTAACTCTTTTTATAAGATAGCAGTTCAACATTCATCCTCATGTGATGAACCTTCAAAGTTTATGACACACTAGAGGATTTTTTCACTTTGCAACTTTACAGGATTAACTTTTAAATCACCTTATTTATTTATTTTTAAAGTTACCTGTCGCTAAACGAACCAAACATCGACTCTGTGCCTTTTATTCTTCCTGATTGGTCACATCCACAAATGTTTCTGAATCTTTCATGAAGTGTACTTGATGTGTTGAGTATTTTCAAACACCTGTGGGAGTGAATTCAGGTTTTTTAAAAAGTGTGTTATCAGTGTTTGACTTTTGTGCTAAAGCTGCTGGAGATAACAGAAGCTGAAATCGGAGCTGAACATTTTCTAAAGACGCTGGTTACACCTTCAATTACATCTCCCACCTCTCTATATTTTTATGATCTGCACCTCAAACATTTAATCTCAGGTAGACACATTTCATATTTCGGGGTTTAAGCAGGTGGAGTTGATGAAACAGGAGGTAAAATGTTAAGACTTTGCTCGTTCTGCTCTCAGCTTTAAAATGATTGAATGAGTCATTGCGATTTAACCGCTGAGGAAAATATCTCTGAGAGGGTGAAAGAGGGGTTTTTCTGCAGCCACAATGAAAAAAAAAAAAAGCACAGCCACTCTTCGACTCGTAATTTGTCTTATATTTTCTCTCCCAGATTTCACCTCTGACAGTCGTGCCCTAGATATTTCTGCCTCGCTGTCACACACACTCGCAGGTCTCAGCGGCTGCCAGCTGTGGAGGAGAGGACGAGCAGATCAGCACAGATGAGAAGTGAAAAGGATGAAGGGAATCCAATCGATCCTCAGCCTCCATCCTAATCTTGTTGACGTCCTCGGATGGTGCAGACTGCAGCCCTGGAGCAACTTAAAGCAACACATTTAACCTAAAACACACATTGTTGCTTTTAACCATTTAAAAAGTGCCATTTTGATTCAGATTAATTAGAGACACTATCTCTGTAATCTTTGATTTCATCAGATTCAGATCTGCAGGAACTCCTGAGATGGTTGATATGTCAACTCAGATCTTTGGAGGCCTCAGACGCTGTGAAAACATCTGAGGTACTCGACTGCCTCCCTGTGGCTGACGCAGGAAGTGCAGCGACACACCGTGTGCTGAAGTTTAGTTTCACTACAGACACTTTTATACTTTAAAGTAAAGCAAAATATGTAAAATGCCCAAATATTTTAAATGGTTAAACCTTGTCTGACTTCTTCATGTCTCGTTTAGCATCGACTGCGGCTCAGTGGGTAGAGTCGACGCTGCTCAACCGGAAGGTCAAGGGTTCGAGGTTCCTGGCTGAACATGTCCGATGTGTCCTTGAGGCAAGACACTTAACCCCTGCTGCTCCTGCTGCTCCTGCTGCTCCTGCTGCTTTGTGGTGGTGTATGAATGAATTAGTGATGTACTTAAAAGCGTCTTCTATGTGAAATGTAGAATTGTAATAAAATCTGATATTTTCAAGGCTTTTCTGACCCACAATCCTTTGCACACCAGGAGATACATCCCATTAAAGTGAATTGCAAGCTTTTTGATTTGCATTTATTCCTGGCGAAGTCTGCACATTCGGTTTCTGCACCTGTGACTAAAAGAGGAGTCATGGCAAACGTTTAAAATGATAATGTGCATAAAGGAGGAATGTGATGCTCTTGACAGAGAGGAATAAAATTATGTTTAAGAGTCTTGTGAAGAAACAGATTGAGAGAGAAGACAAAAGCACAAAAATGAACCTTTAAGGACTCTGCAGGGAACCTTGTGTCACAGCGAGGAGTTTCCTGGTTTGAATCCCCGTCTGACAGGAGCCTCTCGCCTCAGCCTTTATTCTCTTTATGTGTGTGTGACCTCTCTCTCTCTGTCTCTGTCTCCAGCCCTGAGCCAGGCGGTAACCACAACCGTTACTAACGAGGAAGAAATCAAACACATTACTTCATTCATCTTTACATTTCCATTTCTGGCTTTTATTTCCAAGCGAATGTACAGTCGTTTGCCATCGATGACTACAGGAAGGTTGGCAAAAATCCACAAGATATGTTTGATATGACTCTGTTAAAAACTGTATATAAAAAGACCCCAAAACTGTACATCAATTAACATAACTACATGTATATATATATCGTTTATTCATATATATATATGCTGCAGCTCGGTGCACACAGACATTTACATACTGAGGGTTATTTTGAAATATTGAACACTATACAATCATAACACACGGTAACGTTCAGTTTGAAGGCTGTCAGTTCGGATGTCTGCTGAAAGACGAGGACAGTTTATCGACTTTAAATTCAGACGATCTGTCACATCAGCCGTGTCCCGTCTGCTTGTTCAGATACTCGTCTAAATAAATAAGACACACATTAAATACTGTCTCTGATAGAAAGTAAAACACAAGTACAAGTCGTGTGGATTCCTGTGATGGAACAGGGGAGACGTTTAGTTTTTATTGGACAGGACGGCTGAAGAGAGACGCTGTGGGTATGAATCTGACCTTTGCCCTTTGCTGCCAGTCATCTCCCCGTCTCGCTCCTCCTGATGTTTCCTGACTCTCTGCAGACGTCCTGTCCAATCAAAACAAAAATGGCCTCCAAAGAAAGTCTTCATATTTGGGAGAAAGCTGCTCCGTTCTGCACGGCGTCATACCGTAAGAGGTCGGGCATTTTTTGGTGAAATTCCCCTTTAATATGCAGCCGGAGAATACGATTCAATCTGTGGATGTATCAGACTCCCACAGTCCAAGATCTCCTCCGCTTCTCTGTTCATTTAAAAAATAAATACTGAAGTAGAAAGCGAGACGTCAGAGATGTTTAGAGAAAAAGAAACATGCACAGAATATCTGAACTCGATGGACAGAGCCGAGCGCTTCAAGTTTTTTTCCATTCAAATACAAAGTAAATTCAACATCAGGGTGATTTATTTCCAGTGTGCTCAGTCGTGGAGGAAACGGAGGAGAAAAGAAAACAGTAAAAATAACATCTCAGAGACAGACGTCCTCGTGGACACGTATAAAACTTCTGGAATAGAAACAATAAAAAACAAATATTCAGCAAACCTCATTAGTTTGTTTGTCGTTTGTGGATATTTTAGAATTACTCAGCGCTGTTTTTCTGTGACAGTTGAACCTGACTCTTTCTCCGCCAAACATCCAGACATCCTTTGAAACGTTGTGATTAATGAAGCAGAAACAGATCATCTAGCACAAGGCACCTAAAGTTAAAGCAGCTAAAAGGATCTCTAGCAGCAACAAGGCTTTGGTTCATACAAGTCCTATTCAGAGTAGGAAACAGAACGAGCGATGACGTTTCTTTGATGGATGGAGAGGATGATGATGATGGAGGTTAGACGGCTGGAGGCGGCTCTCTCTCTCTCTCTCTCTCTCTCTCTCACACAGAGGTAGGAAAACTTCCAGAAAGAGAAGAAATGAAGAAGACAAAGCTAGAAAGAAAAGCAGAGAGGAGAAGTGTTGGAACAGAGCGCTCGCCTGTGAAGGCCGTTTTTCAAGGTGAAGAATCTCGGGCGGGCTCCTTGAACACAATCACACGAGCTGACAGGCACAATGTGGAGACACTCTGAGGAGGAAAACACGTCTGTTTGAATGTGTGCGCTTCACATCTGTTATCGCTGAAACGCTGAACTCTGCGCTTCAGATTTTCTCCACCGTGAGGAGCGAAGAAACCAGGAAGTGAGTGAATTTAAGAAGCTGACAAACAGACGGTGTAGTCTGACCTCGGTGAGTAGTTTCAGAGGTGTTCAAGTTTCTTTGGTACCTGATCTGTGGGGGGGCTGTCAGGGGGGCTTCACATGGTGACATTAAGGCAAACAGGAGGAAGCAGCTACTTTTACTGGACTCTACCACTGAAACAGGAAGTCATAAAAAAGCTAGGTAAAGTGCTTTAAAGACTGAAGGACATCAAATATCAGCACACAGAGGAAAACAGATCTAACACTCCACATGGATGAGTAAAGCTCAAAGTGTTGGTTGTGGGGTTTGATGAGCGCTGGAAAATGTCTGATTCTGGGTTTTTTAAAAAGCATCCCCCCCCAAAACAAAATCTCTGTCTAAAGAGATGCTTTGTGTACTTCAAGTGGACACAAATCGGAGCCTGTGAGGGACAAAACAACCACTTTTAGAAGAGCAAGGGGGTCGGTCACACAGAGACGCATCGCAGACAAAACCATTGAGGTGTTTTTGTAGCGTAAAAGTTCAGAACATTTTCAACTTTTCAGCTCAAGCCTCAGAGTCGCAGCGTTCATCAATGTCACTTTTAGAATCAGTCGTCTTTTTTAAGTCTCTTCTTAAGACACACTTTTTCCGGCGAGCCTTTCCTGATTTTATTTTTACATTTTAGAATTCCTTTAAAAGAATTGTTTGTATTCCACAGTTCTTTTAAAAAGGGATTTTATATTTTAAAGTGATTTTTGTTCCTTAATCTTGCCTTGTTTATTATTCTATTCTGCCTGTTTTTATATTTGCTGTCCTTGTAAAGCACTTTGTAACTTTTTGAAAAGTGCTCTATAAATAAAGATTATTATTATTTTGGCTGAGGCAGAAGGTCAAATCAAGAAGGATGCGTTCCCCCGCCTCATCAGGGAGCAAAGCAACGGAGAGAGCTCTTTGTTTGCTCAAATCCATTTTTCCCTCCTGATTTGATTTGGTCGCCCGCCTGCACTCGAGCCCTGACGCTCTCAGGGCGCCTCTGTGTGATCGGACCTGACGGCAAGTTTCACGCCTGCAGTTCCCCACTCAACCCGTTTGTATCTTTTAGTTCTTAAAACCTCAAAATATGTGAAGAAGAATGTTTAAAAAGAGTCCCACCGCGCCCCACATGTCCAACACTTTGTCTCTCCTGCTCTACCACGCTCGTCCTTACAGTGTCGTAGGATCTGACGCAGACGTTAGGGCGTGTTTCGGGATAAAATGTTTGCACACAGGCAACACCAGTTATTCCTGAAGAGAGGAAAAAAAAGAGTGAGAGAGAGAGAGAGAGAGAGATGACAGGGATGAAGAAAAGAACACGATTGGTCATCATCACACTCATCAGCACAATCACAACACGGGACGAGTCGTTTAAATCCTAACACTTCAGGCGGATTTAAAGGGCCAGTGCATGGATCTTTAGTGTTTAAGTGTTTGTTGTGACATCATTACACTGAGCCCTTTGGAGGCGGCGAGCGAGGTCCTTCCCATAATGCTTTGCGCCACGCTTGGCTGCAGACTCGGGAACAGTTTGAAGGTCACTTTCGTTGCACAGAAACATAAATAAAAACGAGTTCTGGTCCGCTCGGGACCCGTTTTCTGATATCAGAGTCTAAGAATAAAAAAAAATCAAGACGGAATAAATTAAACCGATGTGTCAGGCCCCGCCCCGCTGTAGGCGTGCCCCTGCTTCGAGTTCAGGGTGCCGTCAGCGAATCGGAGGAGGGGGCTGAAGGTGCAGTAGTTTGGCTTTTCCTGCCAGCGTGTGAACATGATTTTCTTGGTTAAGCGTTCAGACCTGCGAGGGTTCCTCTGAGCAGCCGAGCCTCGCCGCTGACCGCCCGCTTTGTTGGGAGCGTGGAGATGAGCCAGGGGGGAGAACTCGGACAGCTGGCCTTTGTAGAGTTTATCAGCGTTCTGCGGAGAGACGGGGAGGAAGTGAAAATAGAGAAGAAGTTGTTAGTCGTGGAGTTTTGCAGAGAGGACGTCGACGAGACATTTTGATCACAGCTGGCCAGAAATGAAAACGTGAATTTGTGTTCTTTTAATCTTCATTTGAACTCAGTTGGCTTTAATTCTGCGTAACCAGATGATGTAATGTCTTAATCATGACAACGCACTGTACAGTCTTTAATTCACTTCCTGCCAGCTGTGACGACAATGTCCCGTCTCCTCTGTTGGAGACACAAACGATGCAATCCCAAACACTCACAGAAAATAAAAACAAACACCATAAAAAAACGTGCAAATGGAATAAAACGTGCATGAAAGTTCAATCCCCTTCAGAATGAAGTCTTCTAACATTGCAGTCATGCGGAAATGAGCCACTAGAGGGCGCCACAGTTTCAAATAAACAGAATGAAGCTGTTTTAAAACCACACCTGGAGGATGTAAGGTCCAAAATGAACCTCAAAACATGAAACTACAACCCAGGTGTTAGTCTCCAAAAAGCCAAACCTGCAAACCACACACCACCGCAAAACTGTTAACACCATCAACCAGCACCCACACACACACACCTGCACACCCGCACACACACAGGTGATGGTTTACCGTGCTGCAGCCCTTTAGGTTTCTGTGACAGCTACGTCATCTAATAAGGAGTCAGAGCTGTGATAGGCCAGCGCTCTCTCAAACTCTCTCTTATCCCTCACTCTCTGTGGACACACGCACACACATTCAGAGACAAGCACATTAACACAAATACACACAAAACAAAACATCGCTCCACACGTGATGATGATGAACAGGCGAGGAAATACACTTTTTGATGAAGACGCACGAGCATGCAATCAAATGGTTTTGTAAAAGTCATGCGAAACAGAGAAATTAAGAAATAAAAAAACACAGAGAAAAGAGGGATGTAAAAGTTTAGATACAGGAGGAGAGGCAGGGGGTCACCTCAGGGTTAGAAACTCATTCTGCTGGAAGTCTGAGACAGCATAAAAATGGTGGAGGGCTCGGAGGCCAGACAGCGGCGCTGATTCTGCCACAGAGGAGAGGAAGGGAGCAGAGGAAGGAAAAGAGGAGCCAGGAGTGCAGAGGGAGGAATTGACAAGGAGAGAAAAGCCACATGATTCAGTTAAGAGTTAAAGTCTTAGAAGATCAGGAGACAGGTGTAAAGAGGTTGGTTTTCAGACTCTCAGACGCCGCAGCTTTAAGGGCAGTGATTAGGACAGGAGAGGTTACAGACATGAAGAAGAAGAAGAAGGCTGCTCAGGTTCATCAGGAGGAAAAACATCAAACCTCACTGCAAACAAGTGGAAGAACAAACTCGTTAAAAAGACGCTGAATACTCTCTTGTGGATTTTCTGTTCTGCAGCAGCTGATCCAACCAAAAAACACTGAAAACACTTTATATTTATTTATTGCACCTGCAGCTAAAAGGACACACGGCCCTGCAGCTTGACTCCAGAGCCTCGGACAGAACATGTGTTTCTGTTTCTGTGTGTCTCTCAGTACTGCAGGATTTTAAGGGGCTCATGATCGCCTTCTTCTCGGAATGCATCAAACTGTTTTCTGACCAAATTCAGCTGAAATTTACGAGCTGCCAAAAACACAATTTTCTACTCGAGGTATTACTCAGTATTTCTTATGAGCCAATGAACCCAAGAAGAAGTCAAATTTGGTTAGAAAAACATGTTTTGTTAAAATCTGGCTGAAAAGCTACGGTCCCAAAATCATATTTTTTATCAAGATATCTCGAACAGTCGGCCGATATCACTACTTTCAATACAGTTACTTCAAATGAATATTTTCCTCTTTGACTCGATATCTTTCAGCCTAAATTGTCCCGTTTGTTGTCTTTGGTTTTCTCCACTTCAGTCGTAAAAGTTTAGTTTTCCTCCGACACTTTCCACCCGTCGTCTTCTGTTTTTAATGCCGAGCAGAGGAGAAAAATACTTCCTAAAAAAAGGTTACATGTCTAAATAATGAATGAAATATTGGAGAACAGGAGCACTGCACACAGAGAGGGAGTTCTTCTCTGACTTACATCCAGCAGAGCGGGGACGTAGCCGAGGCCAGCACACACCTGCCGACCCACAGTCACACATTGAACACGCTTATCATTATAGATATTAAACATGTTTAAGACGACTCTGGTTGCAGGAAATGTGACTTAAAATTTTGATAAATCTGCACAAAGTCGAGGTAGTTCTGCTAAATGAATTTGCCCAGCAGAAGGAGCTGTTCTTTCCTTTTCTGCAGGACCTGAGCGCGAAGGTAAATCTGTTGATAAATCATCTTAAAGGCTTCTTCTTCTTCTTTTATACAGCCACAGCTACGACAGAGCACATGTGTGTGTGAACCCACCTGGATGCGTTCAGTGGTGGTGGGCCACAGCGCCCTCCAGATGACCTTCTTCACCACGTCTGGCACCAGACTGGCTGTGATGAGGAGGATGATGCTGAGCCAGGCCGGGCCGCTCGACAACATCTGCATGAACACGTAGTACATCCTCTGGTAGTTGAGGAAGGGCCTGAGGAAGAGGAGGGGAATATCAGGAAATAAAGTTTTAGGACGCCTCTTTGGTTTGTGTTTTTTTCCTGTGCGTCCACATCTTTGTTTTAATTAGAAGAACTGGCTCTCCAAACACTCACCAGATGATCCCTCCCCACAGCAGAGAGAAGATGACAAAGAAGATGAGCGAGCCCCAGATGATGAAGTGGTTGATCCAGGTCCAGTAATGAGTATCCAGAGCCAACTGCAGCAGAGAGGGGAGAGATCAGAGGGCGAGGTTTGCACCTGTCAGACTCCACAGCTCACTTTAACAACTCTCCCAGTGTGTGTGTGTGTGTGTGTGTGTGTGTGTGTGTGTGTGTGTGTGTGTGTGTGTGTGTGTGTGTGTGTGTGTGTGTGCTTTACCTTGAAGGTAACAGTGAAGACGAGCACGGTGAACACCAGCGTCCCGAACGTCCAGTTTCCAAACATCTGCAGAGGGAAAGTGACGACACACATTTCACATGATCAAAGTGCATTTTCCCTCAAATCAAAGTCACCTGAACGCCTCGTCAGTGAGTGCATGACGTGTTTGTGCAGCTCGTTTAAGCAGCTGGAACTTAAAGTGAATCTAAGCAGCTTTTCTAAAGGTCTAAAATAAGTGTCTGGGTGATATTTAAACATTTTGATCACAGGTGACGTGGATACAATCCTTCTAAAAGGCCTGATTTTGATGAAGTCATACAAAAAAGAAACTTAAAAGTTCACATATTAAATGAGGAATCAATCAATCCAACAGATGGAGGGAGCTCAGACAGCGAGGAAGAGATCATCAGAGGATACGATGAAGGGGGAAAACTGGTGACATGACGTGTTTTTACATTATTTTAATGTAACCCAAAGAACTGATATGCAAGTCAAAGAGCTTTGTGTGACTTTTAGAAATTAACAATTATCTTTGAAAGACGGCTGACACACTTCATGAGACTACAGGTGTGCTCCAAACGTCACCCTGGTGAAATACGGTACATGTCTGGAACAGCGTGCACGCCGTCTTTCTCTTTGTTTAAGTGACTTTTTGCACAAATCTGCGCCTCCCCTCTTCAGTTTGGATGTGCGCGCTTTCTCGATTCTTGCAAATCTGAAACCTAGACTATGAAAGAAATGCATGACGATCCGGAAGACACAACGCATGACAACTTCAGATTCAGAATGAACATTTCTGGGTTTCTTGACAGCCCAGCAGAAGAGCACAGAGCCGATGTTTGAATGTAAACAGAGAGCTCTGTTCATGTCTGTCCACGTTTAGACGATGGAGCAGTCGAGAGAAAACCTGAACTGAAGATAAAACGCAGCAGATATATGGCGCTTTTTAACACTTTAGATTTATTTTGTGTTGATGTAAAAATCATTACCGACCTCTCTGCATCCCATTTAGACCCCACCTCTGGCATTTCTCTACAAATCATCCTATCAATAGACTGATGGCTCAGAGGAGAATTAGATTAGAAAGAGGCTCAAAGTCTCAGATGTCATGTAACAGAAGCAGGAGTGCTCGTTTGAAACTTCTAAACACACAAAAAGAAAGGGACGTCAAAGTGGGGATGGATCACTACACAGAAGCCTACAGGCGGTGTATCTACGGCAAGCGGTAAGGGGCTCGACATGAGATGAACGGGTGATGTGTTTAAGGACCAAACAGAGAGTTGGAAAGGAGGGAGAAATGACAAAGAGAGAGAGAAAGAGAGAGAGACAGGCTTACCATCTGTGTGTTGGTTGTCATTAGCTGGGAGGAGGAAAGAGAAGCAAAAAGAAAAAAGCAACACAAAGGTAAGAGGAGACGAAGAAGAAGAAAAGGAGGAGGAGGCCAGGAGAAGAAGAAAGAGAAGAAAATTATAATAAAACGATAAACAGTCATTCAGTGGCTGGAGAAGAATAAAAATAAATAATCAGTGCATAAGAAAATATCGAGCAAATCAAGTTTCTGGAAATAAAAATAAATCAAACTCAGAGGAAGATGGAGAAAACCAGACGATGTGAAAAACAGAACGCTTCACAGCTTTTAAAGGAGCGATATGTAACTCTGACACCTAGTGGTTAAAATGGGTACTGCAGTCTAATTTAAAAACATTGTAGAGAGCTGTCTCCCCCCTCCTCTCTAGAGTCGATGCTCACTCAGGTCACCATGTGGTGGACTCTGAAGCTTCAGTGTTTATCCAGCTCTGCGTTCTAACCTGCAAATTATTCATAAAATAAAACACAAAACTGAAAACTTCTCATCAGTTTGTTATCTTTAAACTGTCTGTGGAAACGTCGATGATGAAGACAAAAACACAAACTCTCCTTGATTGAATTTAAAGGTGCCGTCTTGGAGGTGTGGGTGTTACCTGTCCGTTGCTGGTGAAGGTGGTGTTGTCAAACAGGAAGTAAGCGCCGAAGAACATCACGACGGCGTCGTAAACGCCGAGGACGGTCCAGTAAATGAAGTTGCGCCACCGCAGCAGAGAGTTTTTAGCGATATCTCTGCGAACAGGAAGAAAACATCAGACATGAGGGTGTTTATAGATTTACTGATGAATGCTGCGTGAAGCTGCACTTTAGAGGACAAACATCAGAAATGATTTGATTTTGATTTTGATTCATGTGCATCATAAAGAATAAAACACTGAACGACCTGAGACATTAAACTGAGCGTCATGCTCTGCTATCATGCCAGTGTTGCATTAACAGCTGATCTCATGCAAGCCCTGATCAGCTGACGGACAGCCGATGAGCTTCAAAGCCTCCTATTGGCTAATTGCACCCGCCGCCTTCTTTAAGCAGCTCTTGCTGCCGACGCTCTGCACAGCTCCTCCTCCTTTGATGATGCTTCTGACTGCTCATGCTGTTGTCACTGAGGCTCTGTTTGACTTTTTGCTGCTTCTCTCCCTGCTTTAAGTTTTCCTTGTTTCCACGGTAACGGGCAGGAATGTGTCCTGTTCCTGTCTGATGCTTTCTGCATCCCAGCACAGAGCCGTACCACCAAATATAAATAATGCAAATAAAGTATTCTTCCTGGACTGGGGTGTGTTATCGAAGGGACACAAGATGAGAAAAGAGCAAAGTCAAGACTGCTGACTTCCATCATGTGAAACCTCGAGTTCTCAATTTGGAAATATTTGAGCTCTGAGCAAACTGAACCCAAACAAACTCAATTAAAGTCAGAAGGTTTCTGCACGTCAAACTCTTCTAAAAAACATGAATTCTTGTATTTCTGAGGGGTTGATTGAAGAATGTACAATCACACATTCAGAGGTCATCATGTATATACCTGTAGAGCGACGGGTCCTTCTTCAGGATGTCCATGTTGATGTGCTGCTCGATGAGGCTGTAGAGGAGGATGGGCAGCGACGTGAAGCTGATGTTGTACAGAGTCAAGTACGCCGTGTCGTACAGCGGCTGCAGAGAAACACAGGGAGAGATTTACAAAGTTTATTTAGCATTTTCATCGTTCTCTTCTTCTGGTCATTTGGAGTGGCTGGCTGGGCGATCGTACCTGTTGTGAGAAGCCGCAGAAGAACTGGTAGAGGAACTGGGGGAAGATGAAACAGACGTTCTGCAGAAAGAAAGTTCAACACAAGCAGTCAGTGATGAAAGAAGCGATGAAAAGAGTTTTTTATTCTTGTTTGAAAATATACAAATCAATGCACAACAGGAGCGAGACACAACTTTATTTATTCACTTCACAAACTACCAGACTTCAACTTATTCAACTGTATTTTTGACGACAGGTTACCTTGTAGAAGAAATATTGCACGAGCTCAGCGATGCGGATGTAGTAATAATGTCCGTGGACGAGCAGCATCTTCTTGAGGTGTTTGAACTTTGGGATGGCGTAGTCGCTGTTCCTCACCGCCTGACGCCCCTCCTTACCCATGATCCCTGCAGAGACACAGAAAGGTTGATCCTCTGAAGAACAAGCTGTGTTGAGCAGTCTGATGGTGAATCATGAAAAGGTTTTAAAGCACTAACCGATGCCGACGTGCGCCTCGAGGATCATGCTGACATCGTTCGCTCCGTCTCCGATCGCCAGCGTGATCGGGTGCTCTTTGGAAGCCTTGATCAGCTTCACAATCTAGAAATACAAAAACCATATTCACGACTTCTCAGAGCAGCTAAATGTCGACCGAGCGCCCGAGTAGTCGCTCTTTGTACCTGTGCTTTCTGCAGCGGAGCCATCCGACAGCAGAGCACGGCGCTGCAGTTTCTGCAGATTTCCAGGAAGATCTCTTTGTAGTTCCCTGAGTTCGAGTCCTCCTGAGCCGGCCTCATCACCGCAGAGAGGGTCGCTCCGTCGATGATCAGACCGTAGTCCGTGCAGTCTCCCGATAAACTGGGTAACAAAGTGAGCACCGGTCAGATAATCAGCTGAAAGGGTTTTCTAAAAAGTTGGACAGCTTGTTATTCAAACACAAACACACACCTGGAGAAGGTGTCCCGGGTCATGCCTCCGTGCTGCCTCAGGACCGTCCTGCTCAGGTCAAACAGGACGTCGTGGAGGCTCTGCTCCTCGGTGCGTTTGGTCGTCAGCTCCAGGATCTGGGTGTTGCGGCGGAACAGCTTGCTGGCGTAGCAGGTCGCGGCCGCCGTCTCCATCTTGTCACCGGTCAGCACCCACACCTTCATGCCCGCTTTGTGCAGAGACTCGATGGTGTCTGCCGCTTTGTCCTGGAGCCTGACGGGATGGAGAGGATGAAAACAGACGATGAACTTCCAGGTTTTAAAGGTCAAATTATTGAATTTGAAATGGAGTGTGGCTTTGTAAAGAAAGCTTCTTGTTCCTTTTTTTCTTTTAGACCCTAAAATATATAAATAATAGGACACTGTGTTGATCATATTCAGGATATGATATGATCCCGGTTTCTGATCACTGGGTTAGATGGATGCTAATCTTTACAGGAGAAATTTAAAAATCTGAGAAAAATAAAATGAGACTGAGGCTTATTGCAGGCTTAGCACTAATAACAGCAAACATGGCGTTGCAGATATGGCACATTGACCTTATTTTCAGCAACAGGAAACCGTTGAGAATGTGTCAGGAAACCGGCATCCTGTAGCAAGTTCACCACAGACTTGAATAGGTCAGCCCAACCTAAATACACACTGCTACAAACCCAAACGACTGGCTCTGCATACATGCCTACACCAACACACTGGTGTATGCTGAGCCCAGAACACCTCTTCCCATTTTCCCTCATCACTATGGCTATGGCACCATGCCCCCTGATGGGGAGAAACTCTGCAGGAGGTACAGAGCGTCCAAGGCGGTGTGAATGTGAGGAACATGATGTCCATTGTCGTGTTTGTGTAGGTCATTCCAGATGTGTTTGTTCACCACCTTATTTGCCTCTATGAAGGTTTGTTCTCTGGTGGGCCCACTGCCCAACACACCTGTAGTATTGCTTAATATGTAAATTATGTAACCTGAAACTTGTATAACTAAATATATCTAATATGTTCATCATCGAAAGACAAAACTCAAGTTCTTCATGGCTACAGGAGTAAGACGCTCTCTAGTTTTGCTGATATGTCACTTGGTTGAGGCAGTGCATGTGTGGGTAGTAGGAAGCTGTCAGAAAGTTCTCCAGGTAGTAAAAATCCAGTTTGTCAAAAATCAGGATATGCACAAACACAAAAACAGAAAACCAGATCAAAACAGGGATACTGAAGTCCATTTAAACGCACTCAGAATCTGGTTGTCTTTCAGAGTTCTGCAGGGAACAAAATCAGCTTTCTCCAAATCAGGATAAAGGCTGGTCCCAGTTTCTAAAGTCGGGAAATCAAATATCTGAGACACTCCACCTGTCCTCCACAGCCGTGGCTCCCAGAAGAATCAGGTCTTTCTCGATCAGGTCGTAAGCCTCGGCGAGTTGCCTGTCTCGATCCTGAAGAGCGAGTTTGGCCCCGTTCAGCAGGTCACAGACCTCCTGGTACTGTTCAGGACTGAGAGGACGATAGGCGACACAGAGCGTCCTGAGACCCTCCTGAAGAAGAGAGGGGACAAAGACAGGTTATTTATCTTCAAAAACTGCTAAATAAAGAAATGTGTCTTTCTGTGGTAACCATGGAAACTGCCGTCATCATGTACGGTAACTGTGGAAACCACTAAAGTTACCCATCCTTTGAAACTCTCAGACACACAGAAAAACAAATTATGATAGACGGAGATTGTGTTATTTATGAATTATTCTTTTGTATGTATGACGTGATGTGTGTGTGTGTGTGTGTGTGTGTGTGTGTGTGTGTGTGTGTGTGTGTGTGTGTTAGTGTGAGTGTGTGTGTGTTAGTGTGAGTGTGTGTGTACTCACCACTGCGTTGTGCTCCACCCGAGCTTTGATTTGCTCCACCTTTCCTGATATCACCCGAGGGAAGATGGAGGAGTCTGCACCTTTACAGAAGAGATAGAGCTCACCTGCTCACACACACACACACACACACACACACACACACACACACACACACACACACACACACACACACAGTGTCAGAGAGAGTAGAGGAGAAATCCTGCACTCCAACATTCAGAGATATGAACAGTTTGTTACCGGTGCTCGATCTGACAATGACGCTCATCCTCCGCCTGACCGAGTCGAACGTTAAAACCTCGAGCAGCTCAAACCTGGAAATACAAAAAAAACTCTTGTCATTAATTTAAAATAAAAAACGTCCAGATGAAGTTTTACTGGATGCACACTGCAGCGTATCGAGAGAACGACTTAATAAAGATTAGAGAAATGTTTTAAAGAGACAAACTCGCCTCTCGATCTCGTCTTCTCGGTTCAAGATCTCCATGTGGCTGTCCTTCAGTCTCAGGAAAGTAAAGCCAAGTCTGCAGCACAAAGCGAAGAAAAGATATGAGAGGAGAAGGAACTAAATGATACACCTGGTGTGTGTGTGTGTGTGTGTGTGTGTGTGTGTACCTCTTCATGCCCTCCACCAGCGCCACCTCGTCTGGAGAGGAGGAGATGTAGAAGGAGGTGGACTTCCCCTGATGGATTCCTTGTTTGATCCCGTCCACCGTCTCCTCCTCTTTCACCTGCACCGTGTGACACAAACACAACGCCCGGAAAAACAGCTCCTCGTGCTCCTGTGGGGGGGGGGGGGGGGGGCACAGTGAGTGTTACCTTAGCGTCTAAACACACACACACACACACACACACAGATGCACCCAATCTGAGGCTGTGCTCACCCTGGCTCCAGGACCTGGTGACGTGTCGATCATGTCCATACCTGCACCCGTCATCACCTACAAACAAATAAAGTGAATGAAACAAACAGAGGACAACATTAAAACAGAAGAAGAAGAAGAAGAAGAAGAAGAAGAAGAAGAAGAAGAAGAAGAAGAAGATATCCTTTATGAATCCCACAGGGGAAATGTATTTAGCTCGGGAAGCGTTTTTTTTGTTTTTGTTTTCTTCTATGCAGACGCTCTGACAAACATTTATCTGACATCATTTCTGTACTGTCTGCAAAAACTGAATCAAAAGATTTGGACAAAAAAACAAAAGAAATCAAGGACAGAGAGAGAGAGAGAGAGAGTGGGGAAAGGAGCGACAGGTTTCAAACCCAGTCTGCCTGCTTGGAGGACTACAGCCTCCGTACATGGTGCGCACAATAAACAATTCCCTACCGTGCCCCTGTTTGTGGACAGGACAGAGGACAGAGTCAGAAATCAAGGAGAGAGAGAGAGAGTGATACGACATGACGGAAAGGAGCGACAGGTCGGATTCAAACCCGGGCTGCCCCGAGAACTACAGCCTCCGTACATGAGGCGCACAGGCTAACCACTAGGCTACCTGCGCCCCAAAGTGCTGCAACTCCTAAAAAAAAAGATTTTACAACAGAACTTGAGCACTTTTATCCCTTATGGACACTTTAGAAATATTATTTTTAACTGTTTTATTTGATTTGAATTACTGACTTATCACTGTAGTAATTTCAAGCTTTTAAATGATTTTAGTGTTTATATTTTATATTTTATTGCTCTTTAATTGATTTTATTTTCTGTAGTAGCTGTATCTCATTTCTCGTTGTTTATCATTTATGTATGTTTTCTCGGCATCATTGTAAATGACGGTCGCCCCTCAATGATCTCTCCGAGAACTTAAATAAAGGTTGATGATGATGATGATGATGATGATGACATGTTCAAGCTTTTTTTTTTTTTTTTTTTTTAAACATATATTGTCCAGAATTTAGAAACATTAAATGAAGGTTTGTATGGAACATATGTTGATAAATAATGTAATTTATAATGTACATTAATGTAATGTAAAATAAATGTTACCTGTCCGTTACAGATGATGTTAGGTACGTAGACGTGTCCGTCCACACAGCACTCGATGAACTCCATGTTGTTCTCCGTCAGAGTTCCTGTTTTATCTGTAAACACGTACTCCACCTGGAGACAAAGCGGTCTGAATGTAACCACAGGAGGATGTTTGACCCCTCAGGTGTGTGACACTTTATGTTTTGCGTTCTGTGCTACCTGTCCGAGCTCCTCGTTCAGGTCGGACGTGTTGACGACGGCTCGTTCTCCCAGCTCTTCGTCGAACATCTCGTCGTCCCACATGATGAAGTAAGAGCCCAGAAACTTCTGCATCTCCACGGTGACGTACATGGACACGGGGATGATGTAGTTAAAAAGAACCATGAAGGCGAGGAAGTCTGTGAACGCCCTGATCAGCTGGAGGAGAGACACAGGAGGAGTTTAGGAGACGATTTCTTTGATTTATTATTATAACAGAATGTAATAAAATAGACTCACTATGTGTCTCTCTCTCTCTGACACCGTCCTGTGGTTGTACCACGGCTCGTCTCTGTTGGTGTCGGCCTGCCAGGCGTATTTCATGATGGTGTTGATGATGGATTTACCGATGAGAATGCACAGGTACACCACCAGGTAGGCGTTCATTGACCTGCAGGAGGAGACGACGAGAAAGGATTTATACAATTCTTATTTATCAAAACGGAAAGCAACATACCCTCACTCTCTCCCATGATAAACTCTTCCACTGAGCGCCCCCTACAGGTCTGGAGGTCGTCTGTTTTCTGCCTTTGTGTAACTTTGACTTTCTAAATCACGCTCTTTCATTTGCAGCATGTTTCCGTCGCTGCAAAGGAGGAGAATATGTGACCTTTAAAATGTCTCGACCGCTGGCCTGCTTTGTGACCAAACCTCTGCAGAACATCCTTAGATCAAGCTAAAAAAAAACACATTTATTAACACCTTCAGGATGTGTTTTCATTGATACTGTATTTATTGTGCAGAATAAACTAATGCAGCATTCGATTTTAAATCCCCTGCATGAACTCTTGCCAGTCAGTCAGAGACAAAATTAACTTCATAATGGTGATCATCCAGGCCAACATAGAGACCTCAGAAAAGGTGTTCAGTACCTGCCAAGTTCATTTTGGCAAAAGAAGGACCAATACAATTCTAATGAGCCGACCAGGCAGCAGAAGTGTGAATGTAATCCACCTACAGTCGGTCAGTTATTAACAAGCCATCTGGATACAAGATGCACGTCAATGCCAGAAGGAAAAGGACGAGATCCAGTTATCACAGCGAGCCAGAGAGACAGTCAGTGAATGAATCAAGAAGCGAAAAGAATGACAGACGGACGAGTTAAAAACATGAATTATTATTTAAGTGTGGGCGCATTCATGCTGCCAGTGGAGACAGTTTATGTGTTTGAAAATGAGAGCGAGAGAGAGAGAGAGAGAGAGAGAGAGAGAGAGAGAGAGAGAGAGAGAGAGAGAGAGAGAGTCAGCTTACTTTTCCACAGCTGAACGTTTCTGAGACTTGGACTGGTAGTTGAGAGCCATCTTGGTTTCCATTCCCGTGTAGATGGCCACGGCTGAAAGAAGAAGAAGAAGAAGAAGAAGAAGAAGAAGAAGAAGAAGAAGAAGAAGAAGAAGAAGAAGAAGAAGAAGAGGGAACAATTACAAAAGAATCATTCTCAAAGTGTTTTCGTTTGGGGAAAATACTCCGGTATTTGTACGTTTTATCTAAACTCTTTTAAATATATTTTTGGCCTAAATGAAGAAAAGGAACAAAACGTTTTGGGATTGTTCGGCCGGCAGATGCAAGAGAGAGAGAGAGCGTGAAATTACCAACCCTGCCTTTAAATGTGGTGTACCTGTAGTGCTCAAAATGGTTACACCCTCTACATAGGATTATTTTGTTGCGTTGACGTGTATTTCTGTTGATCTTACCGTATATGTACTCTGTGTTCTTCAGTGTGGCTCCTCGCAGCAGCAGGTTCTCTGATCCTAACGGCCTGCAAGAACAAAAAAGATCATTTTCAGACTTCTGCATTGCCATAAGAAATCCCATAACAAGTATTATTTTATCTTTACATTCTTGTTTTAAAGGTCACATATTATTAAAAATCCTCTTCCTCATGTTCCTCTAACTCTAACATGTGTCTCTAGTCCGTCTACAAACCCCCCAATGATGAGAAAAGTCCATCCTCTCCGTCTTTTACCTGCTCCACTTTTCAGAAAATGTGTGCTCAAACAGGCCGTTTTGGAGATGTTCCCTTCATGACATCACAAAGGGCAGTAGCCCCTCCCCCAGGTGGGTGACACTCCCACAGCTAGGTGTTTGTTCTGCCCTCTGAGTCTGCCTTCTCACCGTAAACAATAGGACATGGAGACCGAGTACACCCAAGCCCTTCCAGAGAGGGGGTGTGGTCAGACACAGCTCATTTACATATTTAAAGGTACAGAAACAGCCTGTTCTGAGCAGGGCTGAAATAGAGGGGTTTATAGGCATGATTAAATACAGGATCAGAGTGGATTTAGAACAAGAAACTTCACACATGTTTTGAGGAGCTCTGAGACTTATTTACACTGAAGAAGAGGAGGAGGATATGAGACCTTTAAGACTAACACATATCCACTCACAAAAACAAACATACCTGGCGACAGGCTCGTTGTCCATGTAGATGTTGATTCTTCCCACAAATCTGTGCGGGACAAAATAAAACATGAGAGGAGAAATATTCCACACATTTATTTACTTCAGGTGTTTGAGTGAGCGTCTGCACTGACTTGTAGAGGTCGGGCTGTGGTTGTTCACATTCTATGGTCGCGTGGATCGAGTCCACCTCCTTCTCTGTGTTGTACGCTCTGGTGTCCTGAACTGCATAGTAGGTCTGAGCAGGGAGAAGATTTAAGAAGAACAAGATGTGTTAGGAGGGAGGCAAGGGGAGTAAATAAAGACGATCGAAGAAAGAAAAGATGACGGCAAAAAGAGGACCTTTTATAGACCTTGATATATAACGAGCAGATCAGGTCGAGGTAAAAGTTCAGTTCTTCATCATTATTATATCAAATGGGATTCTTGTACATTAATAAGTGAGTACTGTTCACACCTTGTGGCTGCTCTCTCCGTCCAGACTGGCCGTAGTGACGAAACAGGTCCCATCTTCCCGAGACGTCGAGAGGAGGATGAGGTCGCACGGAAACGTCTCGTCTTCTTTGACCGACACCACATCTCCGACCTGAGGCAGACAGGTGAAGAAGATGCATCCGGTTGTTATTCATTAACCCCTTTAGATGTAAGGCCCCCTAAAAAAACTCCCTCTAGAAGTAATGTTTGGAATCGACCTGATGGTTTACTAAAATCTTTATTTCTCTGCCTCTACGTCAGATAGAGCTCAAACCCTAGACTTTAACTGCAAAGCATTACCTTTGCAATAAACAACAACAACAAGGAGACATTTCACCAGGTCTTAAAGGTGGAAGCACGCCAGTGTCTCATCAGGTCTTAAAGAGATACACACGCTTCAGGTCTTACTGGGTTGAATACACATTTTGCACAAGAACATTTCCCTTTAATCTTCTTTGTTTTGCTCAAGGTTCAGTGGAACAAACAAAAAACACTCTGGATACAGTTTGAGAGTTCAGGTTCAAGCTGTGTGCATGAAAAACAGATTCCTACCTGCAGAGTCTGCAGGTATGACATGTCCCTCTTATCCCATTTAGTTTTACAGTTTAATGCGGTTAGCCTAACAAGCTAACCGTCTGCTGCACCATCTGTAAACCTCAGAACATCGGCCAACAGTCGCTCACGTTTGTTCTCCCACAGGAAGCTTGATTTATTCAAACAGATCCTCGTTGTCTGCAGTTTAAGCTGCAGTGTGACTCTCTGAATTGTTACATAACAAACATTAATGACAGATTTTTAAAGCTGGACTCTGCACACACACACGCACGCACTCTTGGACAGTGATTTTTCTGAACACACACTCACTCACCCTGAGCTTGCGGCTTTGTTTGCGGACGACTTTCCCGTGCTGCACCACGTGGACGGGACACTGGTTGACGGAGTTGTCTGCTTTGTGTCTCAACCAGTCCTCGTAACCCTGACGCAGACAAACGGGGACAAACGGCGACTCAGCGAAAACAAAGAGGGATGTAAAATATGATGTAATATAATCAAGTGATCGTGGAGGCCTTTGGGGGCTCACCTGTTTGATGGCGGTGACTGTGATGACAAAGAAAAGCGGCAGACCACTGGTGATCGGACTGGTGGGAGTGTCGATGATCAACTAAAGTGAAAAAAACAAACAGAGGATTAAAATGATTGACGTGGATAATGTAAAAAAAAAAATAATGCTGAGAACGATCCTGGAAGAGAAGACGAGATAGTCTGTTGAATTAGTGTTTATTTTATTTGGTTCTTTATGCTGCAATTCAAATATAAATGAGGAACTTTGTAAACAGGAGAGATGTAGTCTGATATCTTTGCAGAAACACAAAGAAATCTTTTTACCTGGATGAGAAATATGATGAGAAAGTAGAAGTTGGCGATTCTCCTGAACTGCTCGAACATATTCTTGGGGATGAAGTTCCAAAAAGTGTACTGGAAACAAGAGACAGAGGAGTGTTTAAAAAAAGAGGGACCAAGCAGGTGAAGGTCACTTTCACTTAGGCGCCGTGTCCCTGAGTGTTTTTTTTCTGAGACCCTAAAAGCGTGAGGAGAGAGCGTTCGCCCAGCGTCTTTTTACCGACGTGTCACCTTCGTGTGCTGCCACTCTGAGCGCTCACGTTGAAAATCTTTCAACTTTTCAGTTTTTCTGTTGACGTCACCACAATCTTTTCCAAATGTATGATTTTGTCGCCAACAGATCGTGTCTTGTACCCACATCTTCCTCGCTCCGTGTCTGATCAGAAAATAAACAATCTAAAAAAAAAAACATGCAGTAAAAAGTACCCCTCCCGTCTGACAGGGATAATCTCCCGCTGTGAGGTGCATGTGTGAACAACCAGATCAGGAGGATTTCAGGGGCAGCCCTTGGTGCATATGCAAAAACAGATTTTAACAAACCAATAAAAAGTCTTCTTATCTGAAATCTATCATATCCTAAAATGACGGACTTTATTTCCCAGTAAACCTCTTAAAAGCTACGAGGAGTAGCAACTCTTCAGGAGAGTCGTTCCTGTGATGTATTCTTTTCAAACCTTCATAAAGTTTGTGTTTGAATCTTTGCACTTCTCGGTGTCTCTGACCTTGGAGGAGACGATTCTGTTGTCAGGATATCTTTGTTGTATGAAGGCCTCTGTTCCTGAAGGAGGCTCTTTGTGTCCGATGTAAATCGTCCTGCTGTCCACCCAGTTCTCCTCACCAACACACTGCGCAAAAAAACAAACACACAGACATGAGGGTGTGCTGGAGGACACACACGTTTGTAATGACGAGATCGTTTTCTGTTTTATTGGACTTCAAAGGTTTGAACGAGAGTTATAAAAATGAGTAATGATTGAATAAACTCCCACACGGTAATGACACAGCGCTGTGCGACACAGAAGCAGACCTGCAGACGTTTACACAGAATGAATGAGTAACTTCTGCTCAATGAATGAACGCTTTTGTTACCACGGATACACAGACCTGCATGTGACTCAGACTGGAATGCATCACACACACACACACACACACACACACCCACACACACACACACACAGGCTGATAAGATGTCTGGAGGTTGTGACTTTATTGTCATGACTTCATCACAGTTTCATTTTGACGTCTTTTTCATTTTCTTTCACAACGTGTCACAAACTCTGAGCGTTACGATGGATTACTGGAAAAACTACACGCAGGGTTTTTCAGGAAATCTTGAAAGAGGTCGTAACACGAGCTGATTGAGAGCCTTTTCAAATTCAGAACAGGATGGCGATCTGACTCAGATGCACGTTAAGGCCCCGTTTCCACCAAACATTTTCTTCCTGTTGTTCCTAATGAGGATCGCCCAAGCTTTTTTTTGTTTTTCCCAATCACTTCAAGTTGAAAATCTTTCAACTTGAAGTGACGCTGTTGTAGGAGAACAAGCGTCCTTTGTTTGATAGCCTAGAGGTTATGCACCCCATATACAGAGGTTATATTCTTCACATCAGCAGCCGGGAGTTCGACTGTATTCTGACGCCCTATGCTACACGTCATCCCCTCTCTCTCTCTCCTTCACAACATTTCCTGTCTCTCCTCAGCTGTCCTATCCAATAAAGGCACAAAGACCCCAAAAAGGAAAATAACTTTCAAGTCCTTGCTGGTCATTTTGAAACACCTGAAGGCACAAAAAGGGCAGGCCTGGACGGGACACACCTAAATCCTCTCTCACTTTCTCTCTCTCTCTCTCTCTCTCTCTCTCTCTCTCAGTATTCATGTCCAGAGGCAGCTGTCACTCAGCCTGCAGATAGTGGTTTAAAACACCACTAAACAGTCTGTGCACACGTCCTCGCAGCCTAACAGGAGGTGACAGTAATCCGTCAGATTGAGTGTCAGGAGGTTGTGCGGCCCACTTTTCTCTTCACTCTCTCACACAGTAACCTGTTAACTCACTGCTCTAAGATTACACCGTTTAGCATGGACAACTATTTATATCCTCTGACCTCCAGTTATCTACGAGTGAGAGCGAGGAGAGAAGAATTCAGGAATCAGAGGTCCTGTGATGATGCTGTGCGGAGACTGAACGTATAAAAGCAGCTGATTGATGTGGAGATACTCGCTGTTATCCTCCCACACACTGTTACTGTTAATGCTCCTCCTCCTTTCTCCCACCTGTCTGCGCCGTCTGCTTCTCCTCACACATTCTTCACACACTTGTCTGCATGTGGAGACGAGCCCAACACACACACACACACACACACACACACACACACACACACACACACACACACACACACACACACACACACACAGAAGGTGGACTTCCTGTAAAATCGGATGTAAAGCTGCATACTCCCCGCCTAAATTAATTATGCTACCTGCAGAGATCTCCCAGCAGCAGAGATGAGAGTATATCAGGTTGCACAAACACATGGAGGAGTCATCTTCCAGAGGAACCCAGAGCTCCAATTTTATTTCAGAAGCTGAAAGTTGAATCTTGTTTCCTCCGTCCTGTCGAGTTTTTAGTTTAGCTTCTAACATGTGTCACGATGTTTGCTGCTGTACAGAAACACATATGAAGGGGGTTCACTACGTCATCCAGGTGAATTTCTCCCCCACTTCAAAACTCATTCTGGCGCCACTCTAGAGGGGAGGGGTCGTGACCTGTAATTAAGTTAATGTGCAGAAACAAATAATCCTGCAACACCGGAAATGTCCCTCAAACAACGTTCTTTAAGAATAGTTTATGAGTAAAAGAATTGTGTTGAAGTTTTGCTCACTTGATGAATCTGTGTTTGTCAATGCTCCTCGTCTCCTCCATTTTCTCTGTAATGTAGCTTTATCGGTTTTCTCACCTCATGTTCTCCTCTCTCACCGCAACCTGAGGGGCCACTAAGCCCGGGCCATCTCTCACGTATCGATTATGTTTAGCTTTCATCCGGATTCAAGCTTTTTACATGAAAGCCTGTCTGAGTTTAATCAAATCAAACAGCATCATCACAAAATAAAAGCCGGGCTTATAAAATAAAGGTGCCCTGCGTTAGCTCGGCTCGTTAGCCTTCTGGATGTAAGCGGAGACTGTGGAGCTATTCTGGACCTTGATAATCACTTTTAGCAGCGGTTCATGTTACAGGATGCTGCAGGTTTCTGGGTGTATTTATAGTTAGAAGGGAAACATTTGTGGTCGGCAGAGAAGGATGGAGAGCGCTCGCAGGCTTTGTTTCTGTCTGAATCAATGAGCACACAAACACTCTTTGTTTTTAGCTGTGTTGGTAGAAAGCAGGAGGAGGCTTTCAGGGAACACACACACACACACACACACACTCCCTGCAACATAAAACATGCATGAGAGCAGCCGTTACACTGAATGCTGTAGTCCACAGGATAACTTTAGAGTCTCACTTCTCCTTTTTGTTCTTTTTTTAATAGTGTAATAAGTTAGGATGCATTTATGCAAAGAAGGGAAATTTGAAGCAGTGCCCACTCGAGATACAGCGATACATCAGCCTGTTAGATATCAGACCTGTTGACAGACATCGGCACATCTGCAAATAACGTGGCACTAGTTGATGTCAGTAGCCGATGTCAATTTGTGTGCCACATTCATTTCTAGTACATCTAACTACTGAGAGAGAGAGAGAGAGAGAGAGAGAGAGAGAGAGAGAGAGAGAGAGAAGGTCCACTGTCCGTAAATCCCTCTTGTAAATGAAGCGGTTGAGGTTCCTTGCTCAGCTTCTCACAGCTTTGTTTTAATATTGTTAATGTACAGCTGCTTGCTGCTGATGCTGCGCTCTTATAAATAACAGAATATCGAGTGGAACTTTTCAAAACAAGAGGCGTAGTCGTTGTGTCTGTGAGCAGATTAAAGATGTTTGATGGAAAAACTCAATTAATTTAAAGGGAAAATCACATAAATCTAATATTAAATTAGACCCTAAGATAAGAGTAAAAAAATATTAAAGTATTGCAATTTATTTATTTGCAATCTGAACGTGAGGATTAAGGCAGAGGTTCATGTTCACAGTTGCAAGGAGCAGAGTGTTTTAAAGAAGTGAAACTCACACTATTTTCACATTTAGTGTCTGTTTTAAACCAGCAGTGAAGCAGCTTCACGTGACTGTATGTAAAGTTGAATATGCATCTGGTATCTGTGATCTGAGGCAGTACTGTCCTACAGGAGATGCTAACTCATGATCTATATTTATTAAGGATGGGACAAAGAATGTTTATGATAAGATATCATCATTGTGACTCATGTGACTCAGAGCTCATAACAGAATTCCCTCACTGCGTCACCTCTTCATGTCTCCTCAAGATGCTGAACAGACGTTAAGCGGCCAAAGAAGAAGTTGACGGAGAGATAAAAGAAGAAGAAGAAGACAGGAGGATAATGTTGGACAGCAGGGGAAAGAAGTAAAGGGATGATAAATGGTGAATGGATTTGAGCTTGTATATTTCTTTTCTAGTCTTCTGACTCTTCAAAGTGCTTTTACACTGCAGGTCACACCTACACATTCACACACTGGTGGTAGAGGCTGCTGAGTAAGTTGACACATCGACATGTGACTGCAGGAGCTGAGGTTTAAAATCTTAACAAAAACTTTGTCAGTCAGTCGGTACTTTAAAAACAAAACCCATTATTTCCACAGGACCTGAACGCACCACCATCTGTGGAGGAGCGGATTGTAAACAGGAAGAGTTAAACCCACCCATCCTCACACCGAGGACACACACACTTCCTGAAACGAGCAACCAACCCCCCTCCATCCATCCGTAACTCCACCCGCATCACGAGAGAGACGAGCGTGTGTGAAGAAATCAGCACATGTCTAAGAACCAAAGAAATTCCTTTAAGAATAACGAACAGAGGAGAATCTGTTTTAATCAAAGAAGGACAGGAAACTCTGAAACGAGAACTCAAAAGTAGATCTTGAACATATCTGTGCACAAGGAGAAAATTCATTTTCAGAGCGACGCCAAAACCATTAAAATCAGTTTTTACAGCAGCGCATGACTCAGACATGACACACTGACTGACACGACTTAGACACACACACAAAGTTAAAATAACATTTATAGAACACAGCGAGCAGGAAGAGAGGAACCACCACAACACACACACACACACACACACACACACACACGACTGTTTGTCTACAGCTTTAAAAGGCCGAGCTGTTGTTCCACTGATGACCAGCCCTAAAGTATTTAATCTCCCTCTGCAACAAGCTGCAAACGGCTCTGAACAGAAGCTACAGAGGACAGCCTGCTTTCAAAGATACCACACACAAACACACACTATTTCACCACTAAATCTCAGTCGTTCATCAGGAGTGCATGTGCAAACATCTGTCCGCTGCCGCTGAGCACGAGAGATAACACAAACCCTGGTCCTGCTCTAAATCACGGGCGTTAAATACAGACATATAGTGTGTTTGAGTGTCTATTTACGACTGCTCTTTAGATTAACAGCCTCTGTTTAGTCTTTAGTTTGGAGACAGCTTCCACAGAGTGTCACCACTTTCATCTCACTGCTCCCGATGGACTCAAAAGTTTAAAAACAGCTCGTTTAAAATAGCAGCAAACATGCACTATCTCGCTTTTCCTGCAGGTGCAGATCTCAGCTGTAAGGCCTGGGATGTGGTGGGTGATAAACAGCAGAAGTTTGTTCATGCACGCTGCAGGAAGATACAAACATGTGTAGGATTAAAGATTTGATGTCTGAGCTCTGTTATCTTTCCATGTG